GCATATGTGACTCTGTGGGTGGGAAATGCCCGCCCGTGCCGCCGGGCCTGGTCCAACATACAATGAAACACCTCCAGTAGTTCTTCCTACTCCTTCTTCTTCATCTTTCCTTTTCCTGTTAGGTTTCGCTTCAGTCATATGTTCTCATATGATTTCTGTGTCTTGCAGCAGGCTTTTGACCTCCCCGGCCTCTATCTTACCAGAGAGGAGCAATTTACAAAATGGGGCCCGTGCTTTTTGGCAGATGTCCGAACGCTATGTTTTCTCTCTCTCTCTCTCCTCTCCACCCCTCTCTCTTTCTCTCTTGTTTTGCTGAGATAAGGGGATTTAAAGTGCTCTCTTACATCTCTTTGAAAGAACTGCCAATCTGTTCCCAGGTAATCAGAGGGAAACAGAGCTGGGATCCAAGGCCGGCTCATGCCAAGCCCCGCTGCAGCCACGGAGCAGCAGGCTCCCCAGCGATTCACATTGTTCAGGAACACAGGGAGGGGGTCAGCAGAGCAGACCGCCTCTGCTGCCTTTGATGTGATTTCTAATATAGTCATCTTGAAATCCTGTGCATGTGATACTTACGCATTGTTTAGATTCAGTCTCAGTCATGGCTAAGCTCCACTGGCAGTCAATAATTTTGTGCGAAATCCATCATAACTAATTTGTGAGCCCTCATTCTGGCAACAAGCGTGTGTGTAAACCCTGCTGTCAGGCAGACAAAACTGAACCATCTGCTGCTGCTGCTGCTGCTGCAGCCCAGTTGTGATCATGGACAAATTTATGGGGAAGGGTAGAGGGTTCACAAACAGTCTAAAACAGTGTGGAACTCAATTTCAGTGTTTTCCAGGTCTGGATAAATGTGGAAAAAAATAATAATAATAATAAGTGCTGAAAAAATATTCATATTTTCAGACTTTCTTCCCAATCCTACCATCTAACTGTATCGTTCCTTACACCTTTCTCTTCCTTTTCTCTGATACTTCATCGTGTCGTCACCCCCTCCAGCCCTCAAGTTCCTCCCTCTTCCTTGTCTTATTCCTTGTGCCACTTTCTTGTTTTTTACTTGGGTCATTCCTTTCTTTCATTTCTTTTTTATGTACTTCATTTATATCATTTTTACCATCAGTCCTCAGTCCTATCCTTCCTTACTGTCCTTTGTTGCAAGCTTCCTTCATTCATCTCTTGTTTCCTTCTGTCCTCGTGTCCCACTCCCTCCGTGTTTGTTGCTTCTTTGTGTCCAACCTGATTTTCGTGTTTGTTTGTTTCTTCCTTCCTTGTGTTAATCCTTGGAGCTGCAGGACTTTGGGGCAGATGCCACTGCAAGGAAGACACACTTAACGCTGTTCCCCACTCGGGAAATTGGAAGTATTCAGGGAAAAAAAAAAAAAAAAAAAATCAATGAGTTGTTGCATTACTCATGTACATCTGGTGATGTCCTTGTTTTAATTGGAGGCATCAGACGGATCCGCCAGTTGGCAGAAAACACCCGATACTTCAGGGCCAAGCTGAAGGATATGGGCTTCATCATCTATGGCGATGATGACTCCCCTGTGGTTCCAGTGCTGCTCTACATGCCAGGCAAAGTGGTGTAAGTACACCTGAACTCTCACCTACACACCTAACATAATCTGGTTATTCACAGAGTTCAACATTTAATCTAAAGCAAAGGTTAAACGTGAAAACTGTCTGCTGCTTCAATAATTACTTAACACCTTTTGATGTGCAGACAGTTCTTTGTGGTCTTCATAGTAAGTACATTTCAGCAACGACTTGTGATTCATTGTGCAGCTCTAGCGTGTCGTGAATGTGAAACTGCTCTTTGCACATGCATTTTTTCTATGTGATGCATCTCTACATACCAGTATATTATGAAACTGGTATTATTGATATTAATACCTAAACGGTTACCACTTTTTTTTATTGCTACCTAGGGCCTTTGCTCGTGAAATGTTGAAGAGGAAAATAGGAGTTGTAGTGGTTGGATTTCCCGCCACCCCGATCACAGAGGCCCGAGCTCGTTTCTGTTTGTCCGCTTCGCACACCAGAGAGATGCTGGACAAGGTAAACACACAGAGAAATCCGCCGACAGCGCCTCAAACTGTGAATAAAGGTTCAGTAAATGTTCTAAAACCGTGTTTTCTTCAGGTGCTGCAACAGATGAACGAAGTAGGAGACCTTCTGTGTCTGAAGTTTTCACGGAGGAAACGCTCCGCTTTTCCTGACGCCTGCAAAGGGGAAAACACCGAGGCGGACAGCTGATGTGACGCATCGCACCTTGACTTCACAGCGTCGAAACTAAGTGTCTCTCCCGCTGCAAGACTCTTTAACACGTATTTTAGGGCTGCACCCATAATCTATGCACAGAAGAGGGGACAAATGTTTGGCAGCTGCTTTTTTTTAGATGTTGTTTCAAGCTGCTGATTCAACAGAAGAGCTGTTTTTGCTCCTTTGAATTTAAATGTATTTGTTAACATGTCTATTTTTTTATTTTTTTTAGCTCTTGCAGAAAATCACTGCAGAAGCACAACATGGACTAGTTTAGCTTAAAGGAATGTGGAAAATATTCTGTGTCAGCATTTGTCCACATAAAAACCTCTCAGATCAGTAAAGAATTAGGAAAGTTTTAAGACATATTTACACAACTGTGTCAATTTATCTTTAAATTAACTTTTTCTCTTAATGTATTTTTATTAAATGTATTGTGTTCCTTATAAATTATTGTCAATTTTAAAAATGGTGTCACTGATGATTATTCAAGAATAAACTATTTTACTTAGTATTTATTTTGTATTATTTTAAGCAACACAATACTTTTTTAAAAGGGATCAGAGCTGATGCTAGTATATTCATTATTATCCATGTCTTCAACAGTGAGATATCCAAAAAGCATGAAAAAAAGAAAAAAAGCAAGTAAGCTTACCTTATCCCTAAAAGTACTTTTTGGCATTTTTGTCACTTTTTGTGACAAAATTGTAATTTTAAAATCTTAACAGATGTTGCAGTTTCTGCACCAGTTCTGACCAGTATTATTTCTCTGGCGTACCTGTTTGTTTTGAGCAGTCCCTTCTAACACCAGAACACTTTTCATAAGCAAACTGCAACGACCGAATAACATAATAGTAGTGGATGGAAGCAGCTGAAAGTCTGCTTTCCACAGAGCTGTCCATGTTTTTATTCATGAGCTTTTGCTTCATGGCAGGTTTGAAGCTGTAAAAACATTATTTTTGGACACGTCTCATCATTTAAAGTTTGTCTACGGTTAGTTTTCTCACAACAGTACGTCTTCTGGCTGTAAAAAGTAACTTCAGGGCTACACATGTAGTGGATTCAGGGAAGTTAAGAAACTTCAGCAGCTGCAGTCAAATGCCCCCCTCATTCCTTCTGGCTCACTTCCCTTTAGAAACTAAGATAAAACATGTTGCTGCTGCTGTTAATTTTCACTGGTACACATGAAAAAAAGAACATCTGAAGAGAATGTCTATTAACTGACATTAATATTGCAGCTTCAGACAACATGCCATTTTCCAAAGTGTATTTCTGATTTAGATGGGCATAACTTCAAATGCTCTGTTTATGTCGGAACCAGGTGTTAATTGCAATTTACTTCCAGAGTTTGAAGGTTTTCTGGCCATATATTGTTACCGTTTGGCCGCTAAGTTATTTTCCCTGCCGATTTCTTTATTTTTGAAAAGAAAAAGTGGCCGTTGAAAGCTTGGTGAATCATAAAGTTGATTAATTATCCACCTGACATGTGTGTGTTGAAGCCCCGAGCCTCCATCCAGTAGCTTTTAAAACATCCTAATCCATGATTATTTTCAGTACTGAAATGTTGTCCTAAAAAGTCTCAGCATGACACAACTTTCATCTCCACTCCAAATGATAGTCCTGCTCCAAATAATATATCAGGTTGCAATTACCTCTTTGACATACAGTCGAATCCCAGGGAATAAAAAAGGTGTTGCGGCATGTTTTGTGGCGAGACTGCATATATTCGCCGAATCCAAACAGTTTAATTGTCGGTGTTTTAAAGACCACTGCGCTCATGCACACGCAAGGCCGCTCAACAGTTGCGAAGGTAAGCATGCAGGGTATGCGGCACCTGGGCCAACAGAAACCTAACCTACCAATTAGTGCTGAACCCTGAATTCTCGTGGCATGGGGTAATCATTTGATTAAGACAGGAAGGATTATAAATGGATGATATATGTGTGTTTTCACAATGTGTCAGGCTGGGTCGAGTTTGCGCTTGTTTTTCTCCAGAACGAGACACTGTGCTCTTATCTCCATAAACAGCATTAAAATGTTTTACAATTTCGCATAAAGATGCGATGCGGAGCTCTCAGGATAGCATTATAGAACTACTATAAACATGGAAGGAATTAAAAAAAAAAAGGCAAACAGGGAGGAAATAAACTCTGCTCTTTTGCTCGATCACTTTGTTCCGTAAGTCAATACTTCACATCTGGCTCCAGCAGCCAGAAACAATAAGGAACAGCTTCTTTAATCATCAAATCTGTGACGCCAGGGTAATGCACCGTTCCGTCGAGATCTGGGGGGAGAAGCTGAAAGGTGGCCTGATACGAAGCATTAGGATGCACTAATGTCTTCCGGATGGGTGCCATTAAGTTTCTCAAAGTTTTGCATTCGAAGAGGAAATGTAAGAATTTAAGCTCAAAGGGAATATTATATTTGTGGATTTTTGTTTCAGGCTCTTTTCAGACAGCTCAAAAATGTTTGCACGTTGCACATATAACCTTGAACTTGAAAATAAAAAAGGGTAGCATTACATAATGCGTCCCGTACTTTCCCTGAACTTGGAGGTTTCCATTCCAGAACTTACAGAAAATGTTTAGGGAACACACTTGATACATTTCAAAACTTACTTTCAGAACTTGAAACTTTCAGAAGACTTATTACTGTCCTGGAACCTACCAGATACTTTTCTCAAACTTAGAGGTTATTTGTCACGTACGGTTATTCAGTTGACTGATTACTTTACCAGAAATGACCAGGTATTTTCTTGGACTGTATAGAGTACTTCCCAGAACTTTAGTAATCAATGGGTTCCAGGAAATTCATTTTTAAAATACATTGTAAGTTTTAGAAAAGCGTCTGGTTGGCTCTGTGAAAGTAATCAATAACATCCATGAAAGTATTGATGAGCGCCTGAAAGAAACATCTAAGTTCTGGGAAAATAACCACACCTTTCCAAGAAGCTAAATTATGGGTTTTTTTAAATTAAAAAAAAAAAAAAAAAAAAAAAAAGAACCTTTAAGTTTTTGGAAAGTACCTTGTAAATTCCAGGAATAAATCCATCCATTTTCTTTACACCCTGGTCCCTTGGTGGGGTCAGGAGGGTTGCTGGTTCCTATCTCCAGCTATCGTTCCAGGTGAGAGGCAGGGTCACCCTGGACAGGTCGCCAGTCTGTCGCAGGGCAACACAGAGACAAACAACCATGCATACACACACTGACACCTAGGGGCAATTTCGGAGAGGCCAATTAACCTGATAGTCATGTTTTTGGACTGTGGGAGGAAACTGGAGTACCTGGAGAAAACCCACACATGCACAGGGAGAACATGCAAAATCCATGCAGAAAGACTGGGGCTGGGAATTGAACCCAGAACCTTCTTGCTGCAAGGCAACAGCTCTACCAACTGCGCCACTGTGCAGCCCCTGGAATTAAGCCAGTAAAGTCTAATAAAATCTCCAAGACACTAAAAGTTAAAAAAAGAAAACGTAATCTCCAAGTTCAAGGAATGCCACTTTAAAGTTTTGCGAAAGTAGAAGCTGTAACTATTGGAGACTCTCAGCTCAAACAATTTATCATTAGAAGAAAATTCTGACTTTTTATGTCATAATACACCTAAAACGTTATTTAACATTACATCGCTGGTTTTGCCTTGTCTTTTTAACATACGTTCATCAAGATTTAAATTTGTTACAATTAAATTGACTTTTTACCTCTGAGGAATGAGCTCCATGTTGGTACTCAACCAAAGTGGCAGGTGATGACAAGGCAACACATTTCAGCATCAGCAGAAGAGCGGCACATGGTGTGTCCTGACATTAAAACATCAGCGAAGCCACACTATGGGCGTCAAGGCCTGCCTGCACCAGCCTCTTTTGAACTTCACATCCAAATTCACTGCACTTATTGCAATGGCATGTAGCTGCTGTTCTGAAGGGGGATCCTCTGCTACGCCTTTGATGTCCACCAGTGTGTCCAAGGCAGGCGAACCTGCTCTCTGTTTTCCATTTAGTCTAATATTTTTCTACTTTGGGGAGAGGAGTTTTGAAGTGGAGCAGACAGAAGGACACATTTGCATGTTTTGGACATCTGTTCTCTGCCTCGAGGAAGAAAGGCCGAAGGTTGTATTCAAAGATCTAAATCTGGAAGCTCTAAACTATGATATGGATTTAATGGATGGCATGATCAAACACAATAAAGTGACGCGATAAAAGATTTGTGCTTTTATTTTATTGTTGTTTTCAAAATAAGGAGCTATTTCTGAGTATTATCATGGTTTGTTGTTCTTGTTCTCTATTTAATAGTTCAAAACCTGACAGATAATAAAGAGTAAGTTGTTTTCATCTTGAAAATGTATGTGTGTTTATTCACACATTAATATGTTTACAGGGGCCCCGTCCATTCTGGAAAAGTGTTTCAAATAAATATGGAAAAAGAAAATGGAGAATGGAAAAATAATTATATTTCTGTACTCCATAACCTATCCCACTGCATGATAATTGCATCAGCACATCCATTCAATCATCCTCACTGCATCTGATATTCCTTCCATCCATCCATCCATCCATCCATCCATCCGGGGCAGTTTTTGTGTAGGACCGCCCCTGCACCAGGAGTTTTGTTCCACCGCTCGCATCTCCTGGTGAATAAGTTCAGGGACACGGTTTAAAGTGCGTCTTCCTCTCCGCGCGGGATCAGTGAATTGAGGCAGCAGCATCCCTGCTAGGTGCATGCTTTAACACCTAGCAGGGATGCTATTGAAGGGGACAAAAGCGCTCTCGCACTGGCTAAAGTCACATTACGCACCATTTGTCTTGCTTAAGCGAAGTGTCACCACTGTCTTCCGCCGCAGCTGCGCACGCGTTAAGTTGAGGTGTGGACCTCCTGGTGCGATCTTAGATGCGCCTACGGGGTCCTTTGATTTGGCCCAATAAATTTCAGCTAAGCTGTATGGGGGGGGGGATAATATTTCACCGTGCAAATCTACAGAAAGTGGCGTTTAAAAGCGCATTTTGGTCATTTTAATTCGAGGACTGAAAAGCAAATCGGAGTGGGCGAGCACTCCTCTTGATCTTTCACCAGAATAAGTGGAAATTAAAGCCAGCTGCACCTCAGTTTGATGAGGAGGGTTCAAAGGGATGAAAGAGTTAATCAGAGGGGAGGGCGCGGGCACATGGAGGAAGGTGTGTGTGTGTGTGTGTGTGTGTGTGTGTGGTGGTGGTGGGGGGTGCCTTGGTATAAAACCAGCTCCAGATCGCACAACAACACCAGCGTGCGTCTGCCCTATTTCCTCCCGCAGGTTTCTTCAACTCTGTGAGTTTAATGCTGACCCTGACTTGGAAGATCTCTCGTTTTTTCTCGGTTCTACCTGTGCCGTTAGTCCAAAGGTCTTCTCGCTGGACTATGCCGCGCAGAATGCGAACTGTGCAGAAAGTTGCGCAAAGCGGATGAAGTGGAGAAGTGAGGGAAAAACCTGTGGCATGAGGTTGAAAATGCGGCGAGGAAACGCAGCTGCGAGTTTTCTGAG